AGCTTAACAGGGTTGACAAGTTTCACCATGGTAGCTCGACAAGCTTGCTCCAGATTCACGCTCAAAAGTTTCACCAGAGTGAGACTTGTAAGCTGGAACTAGTGAAGGAGCGAAAGATCAAAATGCTCCCCCTGTCGCTGAACTGGGTCCGATTTATTAAGAACTTACCCTGTAAAGACTCTCTATCCGTTTTTCAACGGTAGGATCCTTTTCGAAAAGAGGAACACGGAATTCTTTAGCAAGGTGAAAGATTCGTCCTTCAATTTCACGGTTGTCCGTGTAGGTCGCCTCTCTGGAATGAGAAGAATGTTAACGATAAGCCCGATAACCCAATAAACGATGAAAGAAGAACGTGAAAAGATTAATACTTCTCCTCTTCGATCATAATAGGAGGCTGTGCACCAAGGAAATTCTTCTTGAATGCTTCTGAATTCACATTTACTGTTTTGACCTGGAAATGTACACTGTTTAAGGAAAAAACACATGAGAAAACCAGCTGCCACCAAAGGAATGCCCCTTCTACCTCGACTCGTGCGACGCCAATCTCGTAAAGTGCATAAAGTTCCATCCAGAATTCCTGGCAAAAGAGGCATGCTCCAATTCTTCTGCTATCAATTCCAGACGCCTGAAACCAAAAACCATGTCGTTTGGAATGGAAAGCACTTATAATAAAAATAAACAGCGGCAAACATATCATTCCAGTATGACCGTTATTGGACCATTTCGACCATCTACAGTACCAAGACAGTACCAGTGAAGGAATGTTTGTTGTGAACGGAAAAGCATCGTCGCCTTCCAATCTATTTCTATGGAAAAGGCATGCGAAAAGAAGCATTCAATAGCCAATTTTATGAGCCGGCCTTTATGATTACATAATACACATTGAACAGCCATCTCTCATATGCCCACACTTCCAGATTTAACACAGAGTTTTCGTAGTGCACTGTATCAGATATAATCTTTTCTTTGAGGTCGCATTTGTGCCAACTCCAATCAAACAACTCTGGAAGATGGATATTACATGTACCAGATCTCAGATCCATAGCAGTGATGCTATATAGCGAGGAAAACGCGCGAAAAAGTGAAGTGAAATGGTGGAAGACCTGCAAAAGCTGTTTATCCTATCTCAAAAGCAAGTCTGACAGTTCCCGCTGCTGTGTGCCAATACCGCTAGGTATAGCCTGCAGTGTATGCTGTAGTGTTAATCTCCGCTACGGACATTCGGGGCGTTGTCAGGCAGATGAGGATGGCGCGCGTCGCATTCCGCGCCCAACAGAAGGCAGAGAACAGCTTTAACGGCGTGACCACAACGTACTTGCCTGACAGCCCCAACCGTACCGCCATGCTACTATGATATACTCATCATCTATGCAGCACCGCTGTCCGCCTTCATCATAAATCCGCGCGCTTTATACTGTACTTTGCCAAATGCGAAGCGACCGAGGCACGTATGCGGGCGGCGCGGGGTGGGGTCCTGCCCTGACAATGTTGCAGCTTGGAAGGCACTGTAGGGTGTAGGAGTATAGTAGTATTTCTCGGAAAAGACGCCAAGCAGCGCCTGCTTAGGGCCGCTGTAATCTGTCTTGCTAGATATTAATCCTAAACGTCTTTGGAATCAATTGTGCCACTTGTCTTTCACCACCGGGGTGAACTGTGCCTAAGGGGGTTTAAGGGATAGGCCAAGAGTCAATCTAGCACAGTGTGAAGAAGGGTGTGAAAGAGAATGCCTGAAAGGCCCTGTCACAAGCAGAACGCACCACTAGTACCCTCCTCTACCTCGATGGCAATTTCCTGGGAAACAGAGGGGGAATTTTCAAAGAAACTCCGGAACAAAGTGAAAGTCGCGAAGAACGGCTCTCAATTAATCTCTGCATTAAAGTAGTAGTATAGGTCCCCTTTCGTGTGTGAAAGTGGCAGGAAGTTCGGGAAAGTTGCTAAGATGGTGGGATGGAAAGGGGGGGAGGGGTGTACGGGGAAGGGAAATCTCGAAAGGAGTCGTCCTTTGCGAAACTAAATCTTCAACGGCAAGACGTGCCCAAGTTGGGTTAGTCTATGGGAAGGCCGTGCCGGCGTACATCATTTGAACGTGACCGCGGCCACGATCCTGGTGAGATGCTTCCATTTGAACTGTCATCCTATCTTGTGCTGGTCTGGCTTTCAGTTGTCCTGAATATGTCCCGAAATCCCACCAAAAAAGGAGCCATCACTACTGTCAGATGAAGTACGCAGCCACGCCCTCTCCATTTCCTGGACAGTGTATTTGTATTCTTGGAATGGATACAGTCTTCTCCCTTGTATGCGCTCAGTAATACCTTTCCACCTCCTATAGATCCTTCCGTTCAAAATACTCAATAATAACGGGTAGCTACTTTTATAGAGCCCCCATCCCATCCCTTGCACAAAACCATCCCATTGACCAAACAAAGTTCGCTTTGAAAAGGTGACAGCACTGTGCGGATGTTACTGTCATCACGAGACAAAGGAAGTGCAAGCACCGAACTTCCTGCGCACGAGGCGAAACACGGCGGAGTGAAGTCGTCCTTTCTGCTCCTAATTTTAACGCGCATCCGACCACCTAGTGACGCACAAATGATGAGACATTCAGAGCATTTCTTCTGCCACAAAGAGTGCCCTGCCGTTGACATTTATTATCAATTTACCGTATAATTAATGTCACTCTTATTCAAGCCCCTTATTTCTATCTCACCGATAACTAAACTCGTATTTATAGACCTCTGGGGCGCTAGGCTGTTGGGCTTGACGTGTTCATTTTATACTTGATTCTTCTGCTAGCAATT